CTTGTTGCTTTCTTAAATGACACTAACAAATTCAAGATTTGCTTTTAATCATATTGAGATCATATTTAAGATAAAACGACTCTCATGGCTTAAATTGGAATATCGGAAATTTAGCAAAACTCTGGTCTGATATATTACGAGAAATGATTTGATAAAGATATCACTATAAAAACTCATTGTCAACACTAAATCAATGTTTTATAAAGGACATTAGCTTATGATTAGCCTTAGCACACTAAAACCACACTGTGATCATCACATTATGATAAAGTTCTGTTCCTAGCAATATAGAAGTTGTTCACTTTTGAATGAGACATCGGCCTCAATATTGCTGTGACGTTATTCTGATGTCATGAAGTATGAAATTACAAGCGATTTTAGATCACAAAACTACCTAAATCGTTAAGGCTGAGAAAATCCCTCGGGAAGAATGAAATTTTGTCAAACATGTAATTCAAATTCCCAAGAACCTAAACAATTTCCCTATTAATAAGTTAATGATACTTTCCTCGACGTAAGACACCAGGTGGAAGACGTTAAGAGTACTTTTTTGTTCATAGGTGTTAACAGTCAGTGGCGTGAGGTTTAATTCCGGTGGGTGGGTGGGTGGGGAGGGGGGGCACATGGGTGCACACAATTTTTAATGGGGCACTGAAGGCAAATGACAAATTTTTGTTCATGTCAAGATTTTAAACGGGGAGCGCCGGGCGGGGGGGGGGGGGGGGGCACGGGCATTCGTTGTGGGGGGGGGGGAACAGCCCAGTTACGCCACTGATAGTACCAGTATGTTTTACCTTTTTTTCAAGAAATGAAAAAGAATTATAACTGTAAATATATGTCAGCATGTTTTTTAATATCCTTCCTTTATCACCATACAAACGCCGGTCATATTTTACAGCATAACCGGCTAATTCGACAATATTATACTTTTATCACATCTGCCTGTGAGTTGCGCGAAAGGAACGTTTTCCCTATGGAATGTTGTTGTCAGTCTCTCTTTTTGGAAAAGCCGAATATATTGGCTAATAGGACATGATGCAAACCGCCATGCGAGTGGTCGGTTTCAGAGTACAGGTTACTGATGAGGCTACCGTGTATACAACCATGCATGCGGTGCTCAGCCGATACCGATTCGCAAGGCTTTCTACCGGCTTCTTCTTGCAGGGGAGTAAAAAAAGAAAATGACTGAATTTGAAAATATTAAAAAATATTCGGCTTGCTCAATTTCATTATGAAAAAAATAATAAAGTACATCTTATTGACTTTAAACTGTGAATATATCACGTCATTTGCATATTTTATTCCCGCGTTATGTCTAAAACAAGATAAGTTTGCGGTAGCACCATGTGAATAAATCTCTTTTGTGAGTACATGTATGTATGTGTGGTTCTGAATAGCCTTTAGTCAAGTCCCACGCGCCTATACCCGGACCATCCGGACACGTAACGCACCCTGGATGCTGGCACGTAAAAAGACTAGCACGAGTCTTTTTACGTGTCAGCATCCGGGGTGCGTCACGTGTCCGGGTAAGCGCGTGGGACTTGACTAAAGGCTAGATTCTGAAAAGAACCGAGGGACTCAACGTTTCGAACAGTATGCTCTGCCCGTCGTCAGGAGAATGTTATTCACATGGTGCTACCGCAAACTTTTCTTGTCCTAGTATCTTTCCACCATGCAAACCTTCAAATCTCACGTTATGTCTATTTGAATAAAAAGATCACAAAAGCTCGGCTGTCCACCTCTGATAATTCTACGAACTGGTTAATACACATTGAGTATTATGAAACATGGACGTTTTCCCACCTCGATGAATGAACGAGAACTTGCAAAGGATTTTTATATCGCTAACAACATTTCAGAAGAAAAAGAGTTGACTTGTTCCTCATATGCAAACCATTACAACTGACAGTAAAAACAATGGTCTTGATTTCAATTATTAATATCTCATTTTAATGAATGCTTGTGTGTATTATCACTACGCTCAATGGCACTCCACTTGAAGTACACGATAAAAATCCATTATTAGCCAATTGCGGTATCGAATCAGGATACAGGAAGAAAGTTTCCTATCCAGGGTTTACTATTGGAAACCGTGTTGGAAATAAAGTAAGCACTGGGGACGAGGTTGGTGAAGCAGTAGCTGCGTTTTACCTACCACGGACGTGGTGACGCCCTTCGCTGTGAGCAGCTACTTCCTGTTTCCTTTTTTTCAGCGGAGTGTCCTATCTTTCCAGGCCCGTCGCCAAGAGGGACCAAGGGGGTCGCCAAGGTGGCCCAAGGAGCCCCCCCCCCCTCGGCAAAAACCATAAGCGTAAAAAGTATATATAAGTTTGCTGTGCCCCCCCCCCCCCAAGAAAATGCCCGGAGCTGGCGACGGTTCTGTAAATCTTTCTCACATACGCTCTTTGATATATCACAGTCGTAATTTACCGAGGTCAGTGGCGGCGCCAGACTCTACATTTGGGGGGGGGGGGGGGGGGGGGTTAAGAATTGGGGGGCAAGGAAATATATATATATATATTTTTGAGGGGCAGTCAAAATAAATTTTTAAGCCCGTGTACGGAAATAAGCCACCAGAGCAACTAGAAGACTAGCATTAATCGTTTTTATGAATGAGAAATGTATCAAACAGCAGAATGGGTGTATAACAAATTAATGTATAACAAACGTGTAACAAGACGTTGGCTGCATAAATGCATGTGTGGTGCGTTTCGTCTAAAGTACCAATGTTTATAATGCTTTTATTGGTCCAAAATTTGTCCACATTGTATCAATCTAAACAGCGAATAAATTAAACACAAAGAGTTGGGAGAAAACGGGGGGGGGGGACTTGGGCCCCTCCCCCGTATAGCGCCGCCACCAACTTCATACATGTTTTCAAGGGTGCATTAAAAGAAAATGATGCATTATTTTTGTTTACTTCAAGAGTTTACAATGGGGGGGGGGGGGGGGGGGTACTGACATCCGCTTATTGTTAATGAACAATCCCCACTTGGGCCCCAACAGCACTTTTCGCAGTATTGGTCACGCTTGCTTAGCGTTTGGAGGTTTTTTGGTCTTGGTTAATAATGGATCCCCATACCATTTTCGAGTTTTATCTTAATTTGGTTCTTTTTATTGCTTAGTTGCAACGTTATTCACTTTTGAATGACACATCAAGCGGAACATCCACCGACGTTTAGTTTAATTATTTCTTCAAATATGTCAATTGATTGGCTGCTAGACAATAATTTGTGCGCAAACTTAAAGCCCCTTTTCATAAGGTTGCAAAAGCCCAAAATCACACTAAAGCAATTTTTTTTTGTTTCAACAAAACAGTCAAATCGAAAATTCGTTGGGAGAAAAAAAAATCCATTTTTTGAAGAGCACAGAATAGCCTACATATCTTCAAAGTATAAATATTCCCCATACAAAAACCAAATTTATTTTATGTACCTTGATCGCATCATGTGTGCACCCCGTCCCGAATCGCCATATTCAAAACGTTATTTCATTTTTTTTAATTAAACGCACAAAAAGGCAACAATAATTGACAATCTACCAAGGGTGTCATTTCTTTTAGTTTATTTCTTTGTTATTCTTTACAACCTATTGACATACAGACGTTTTTACCAATTCCTTACAAAACAATACCGACAATGGATTACAGATGAGGACATATGTTAATAATTCACGATTTCCTGAATACAATAAATTAATAATACACCTGTTAATTAAATTCTCCCTATGCAACATGATTCCACTTGTTTTGTCAACAACTCCATCTCAATCATGACCGAGTATATAAGCGGAATGACAGAGCCACCCAATGCTGATCTGTGGCAGTCAAAGTGATTGGATTGGTGGGATTTAAAGAGCAACCGCCGTTGATTGGTCAAGTGCCCTCAGTTGACTAACAAAAGTCAGGTATAAGATAGGTGAGTAGAAGCTAATAGCAACATTTTATTATAACAATAAACATTTTAATTTGTTTTGAAGCAATTGAATTTGGACATTGTGAACTTTAGCTTAAATATACCTTTAAAAAGTAAGAACATTATAGGCTTGAGGTGCAAAACATAACATAGCAATAAGAGTAAAGCTGGTTTCTTTGAATTTCACTTTTTGCGACTTAATAAATTAAATAGGAATCAGGGGACAGCCCCCCCCCCAAAAAAAAAATCAACATTCATAATCATAGATGATTGATTTAAAGTATTGTAAGCACTCATTATCTTTTATTGATTTACCTATTATGTGAATACAATTTTTGATATAAGGCAAGTTCAGCACTCGGTACACATTGCGTTTATCCTTTTGTTGGGTTAATTAAACTGCAAATAAAATGAAAAGACACCAATAAACCACCAATAAACACAAAGTGAACAAAGAACGTTAATTACATGTATTAGTAAAATTGTGCAATAAAATATATCACAAAAGCATAAACGCAAATATATTTTGAGTGCTGTCACCTGTTGCTATGCATTAAAGAAATTTCTCCATGGAAAAAAAGAACCATTTCAATTTTATTTTGATGTAAGACTTAAAGTGCCTCTCTAAGACTGGTGAAATATAACGGGGGGGGGGTCTTTTACCTTCCTAAAATATTTTCCAACACTTAGGTGAACAGGAGTTACTTAACAATTCCCAGTGATTCCTTAAATTTAAAGTGAAAATTCTATTGAAAGTAAAAAAATTATATTTAGTTTAAAATTGGAAAGAAAGTCACGTTTTAGTATTAACTATAAGGTTAATAATTGTCTGTTGCAGTTTTTATATCAGATTTAAGATATTTTAGAGGCATGGATAATTTAATGTCTAAAAAGTAGGCTTCTTCTATTTTTTTTAATGTTGTTGCCTGATTGAAAAATATTAATAACTTCAATATTCTGACACTTAAGTTTGAAAGACACATTTTTCAATAACGTTATCTAAAATCGCATTTCGGAACATTGTCCAGTGCAAAAGCAAGTCTACACTCCACTTTGAAATTATACACCATTCTTATTATAATGTTCTTCTTGAGGGGATGAGTGGGAAGGTAGCTAGCCATCTCTGTATATGCTGAGCGCTGCGTTGATGAAAGCTTGGAGGATCTACAAAGAAAGAAAAAAACAAAAAAACTATAAACTAAAATATTCAGAGCTCTCTATAAAATAGTTACTTTTTATGCATTAATTCACAAAGAAAAATAATGGTGTATCAGTCTTAGCATGGCTTCATTGGTATACACCTATGGTTAGAGATTTTATTAATAAATTACTGCATCTTTTCTGCTAACTCTTAAGAAACCAGACAGTGACAGTCGACTCTCGTTAATACAAACAGTGTTAATACAAATTCTGGTTATAGAAAACAAAGCCTTGTTCCCGACTTGTGAATGTGCAGTGAATAAGTCCAGCATTCCACTTAATACAAAAATTCTGATAGAACAAATATTCTGGCTAGATCCGGCTGATGTTTGTATGGACGAAAGTCGACTGCACTCTTATTTGAGCAAAATTCACCTCGGGAATCAGTAATGGGAAGCCCAGCAAGCAGGATCGTCAGTTCATCTGTCGGTCCTCCTCCCTGCTTCCGGTTCCTCGGTTTTGTCTTGATGCGATGGTTTCAAATTGGAGCTACATCCTCTCGCCCTCACCGACTGGAAGCAGCCTCTTCATCCAGCCAGCTCTATGCCTGTCAGTGCTCCTTTGCTGAAATATAAAAAAAATAAAGGGGAAAGGAAACTTTGAATTAAAAAAATAAAGCAATACTCCACTGCACCAACACTCTTTGTGGAAGAACATCAAAAAGATTGCAAGATCACCCATTTTGATTCGTTCTGTTCGACTTGCTGCAGTTTACTTTTCAGTACATGTAAACTCACCTCAAGAATCGGTAATGGGAAGCCCAGCAAGCAGGTCATCCGTTCATCTGTTGGTCCTCCTCCCTGCTTCCGGCTCCTAGGTTGGGTGTGTGACGAGGCTGTTAGGGTCCATTTTTCGTCCTGCTAAAGCAGCCTGCTTATCCATTCTGTCTCAACTTTTAGATCCTCCTTGTCTGTGATGAAAGCTGCGAATCTTTCCCAAGTGAACAGGGGTGAGAAAACAGCTGGGCCTAGCCCATTGTTACTGAAGTGAAACATTCAAATGCATCTAATAATTATGTTTCAGCTTAAATGTATTAGAGATGCCACCCAAAAATGCTACTTCAGTGTTTTCATTATTTCGTGTTTTTTTTAATAGACACGATTATTTGTTGTAATGCACAAAAATGTGCCGCGCTGATCGTGCCTTGAAAACCGCATAATAACTCGCACTGTAAACGAACATTAAAGAAATTCATATGATATTAAGATGACGAAAAAAACTCATTCAATAATTAACCCTAACGATCCCCAACCAGCCAAACTCCATAAGGGTTTGATGGATTCCAGCTGTTTGTGTACAGTTTAATAGCACAGGGTGTTGGAATTTAGGATGAGGAAGGTTCCAAGTATCACCCTAGGGGGTTAGGATTGTTTTTGCCATAAGGTCTTTTTGAAAGCGAACTTCTCGAATTATGTGCAGCAATTTCCGTAATTTTTTTGCAGGCGAACATAGTAGTTCTACGAAAAAATACTTTAAACCGTTGAAGTTGCTGTAAATTTCGTCAATTTTTTTCAACAGTTTTATTTTTCGATTTTAATACTGTTGTGATTTTGCCTTAATGTCCGTCATTTTGTTTTTCTACCGTAATTTTCTCGTTTGGCAAAACTTCGTTTTTCGACTGTTTGACTGTGTAGCATCGGTTGCTGCCGATCATAATTTTCGATATTTGTAGTCAAAGTTTGTATTGCGTCAAAGGCAGGAAAAGGTTCTTTTTTGCCGTATATTTTCCCGACATTTTTATTTTTTCGTCGCTTTGTTTTCGTTATTCCCATAACCGATTTTTTTTCCATTTTCGTCATACTCGTATATTTCAGTTCGGTCTTGCAGTAAACTAAAACGGTGAAAATAACGCTGATTTCAGGTATTATTTTTCCATGATCCCGCTTAAACTTTTTGCCGTAAATTTCGTATTCTACTCGTTTCTGATTTTTGCTGCTTGCTACCGTTTTTTGCCCCAAAGAATTGCAGTCCAGAAAAAAACACTGATTTTCAAGTAATATTTGTAGTACAAGATCAAGTTTTCTTTTACCAAAGAGACATCAGCCTGTTGAAGGGTCCCTTTTTCGTCCTAACAAAGCAGCCTCCTCGTCCGGTCTGTCTCAACTTTTAGATCCTCATTTTCTTTAATGAAAGCTGCGAATCTTTTCCTAAGTGAACAGGGCTAACGAAAATACTAGGCCTAGCCCATTGTTACTGAGGTGAACCATTCCAATGCAGCCAATAATTATCTAACCCTGTAACCTGTCATGGTTAATAACACAATTGGAATCAACGATTCTATCCATGCATGTTTACAATGTTTACTTCAGTGTTTTCATTATTTACTGTTTTAAAAACAGACACGATTATTAATTATAAGGCATAAAATGCGCCGCGCTGATAATGGAGGGTTGCCTTGGAAACCACAAAATAACTAACACTGTAAATGAACATAAAATAAATCCATATGACGAAATGCCATCTTCATCCTTGCCGATCTCACCACATCGGACCTACATTACCATACGGCAGAAGGGTTACATGTTAATCTAATTTACAAAAAAAACCACCAAGGAAACATAATGTTGCATGTGACTGTATGTCGCATGTCTTACAGAAATATCTCATGGATATTCATGGTAAGTGCTGTATACTCATAACCGCACAGAGATTTGATTTTGACTGATGATATTAAAACTGTCACTCATTTATGGTATAAGCTGTCACTTTTGCTGCCGCTGCGCTGTTATTTTGGCCGTAAGCTTAGATCCCAAGAGGATGTTTTCAGGAGGAAACCAACCAAGTACCAAGTAAACTCTGCTTTCCTCCTTAAATAACGCAGCACTGATGTCAAGTCTCATTCCGAGCCGATGCTGGATGATCGGACTTACGTTATCAAAGGTCAAAGTAAGACTAAAACGAGTTACGAAAGGATAACATATAAATTAATAATTATGTGTCCCTGCCGATTGCTCCAAATCGGACTTACATAAAATTGTGATGTATAAGGTTGAAACAAATTAAAAGAACATGAAGAAATGTCGCATGCATTAAACATGTCGCATGTCTTACAGCCCCGTTTTTTTTCACAAGCGTTTTTTGCTTACAGTACGCTTTACTCATTCACATCGCATACCTTGGTTTTGCCATAAGTTCTTTCGGAAGATACACTTCTCGAAGATGTGTATGGCAATTTCCGTTCGTTGACGAATGTACTTTTTTAAAGACGTGGTGGGATTCAGCTGGAAAATGTCTTAATTATGTCTGATCTTACCTGTAACCTGTCGTGGTTAAATTAAATTAATGTCATATTGGAAATTAAACGATTCTACCAATGTTTACAATACTTACTTCGATGTTGTTGTTGTTTACTCTTCTAAAACAGACACGATTATTTGTTATAATGCACACAACATACACAGATAATGGCAGGTTGCCTTGGAAACCGCAAAATCATGAACTGACGCTGTAAACGAAGAATAAAGAAATTCATGACTTTAAGATGACAAAATGCCATCTTCATATCCCTGCCGATCCTTCCAAATCGGACTTACATTAAAACATGGCGGAAGAAGGGTTACACGTTGGCCCTATACCTAAATTCAACAAGGGAAATAACATTACTGCATGTGACTATAAAGGTGTCGCATGTCTCACAATAACTCCTTTGGATTTTAAAAGTCACCAGATTCTTTAATTAATAATTATGTTCACCTGCCGATCTTTCCAAATCGGACTTACATAAATGATGCATAAACAATTACAAGAACGTGAAAAAATATGTCGCAAGCAACATTGCAGATACGTCTCACAGCCATTTTCTTACGCTTTGTTTAGATATATTATTTTACTCGTATACATTTATACAACTGTTTTTGCCATGAGATCTTTCTGAACACAAGTTTTTAGAAGATGTGCAGTAATTTCCGTTATTTTCGTATAGGCGAAGAAACTTAGTCCTTCTAAAAACTGTTGCTGTAAAATTCGTCAATTTCTTTCTCAACAGGTTATTTTTGGCCCGAGATGGTGATTATTTTGCTGTTGTTAAATGCCGACATAACTTTAAAGGAAAAGTTCTCGCTATGTGCAGCAATATCCGTTATGTCCATATACAATGTAACACTTAATTCCTACGGGAAAATGCTTTTCAAATTGCTGTAAATTCCGTCGTTTCTTTTAACAGGTTTTTTTTTGGTTCGACGAGATGGTATTTTTTTAAAAATCAAATACCGCTGTGATTTTTACCGTTATTTCTAACATTTTGTTTTTTTACTGTAATTTTCCCGTTTGCAAAACGTTGTTTTCCGACTGTTGGAAGCGTTGTAACGGTTACTGCTGATCATAATTTACGGTATTTGTAGCCGATTTTCTTTTGCTCCTATATTTCCGTAACCGTTTTTTTTTTAGTTTGTGGGTAACACCGATTTGATTTTTTCCCCATTTTCGTCATACTCGTAAAGTTTCTTTTAACGGTTTTTTTGGTTCGAGATGGCAACTGTTGTTTGAAATCAAATCCAGCTGTGATTTTTGCCGTAATTTCCAACATTTTGTTTTTCTACTGTAATTTTTGCGTTTGCAAAACGTTGTTTTCCGACTGTTTGAAGCGTTGTAACGGTTACTGCCGATCATAATTTACGGTATTTGTATATAACCAATTTTTGCATTGCATCGAAGTTGGAAAATTTACACCGGAATTCATGGGTTTATTTCTGTCGCTCCTACTGTTAATTTTTGCCGTAATTTCTGTTCATCATGTTCTGTATTTCGTTGCTTAGATTTGGATATTTCCGTAACCGTTTGTATGTAATTGCGATTTGACTTTTGTTTCCATTTTCGTCCTTTTTTCCGAGTAGGCACTGCTGTAATGGTAAAAGTAACGCTGATTTCGGCTGTTATTTCTTCCAATGCCGCTGTAGTTTGGCGTACATTTTGTACTGTTGTCGTTTCGAATTTATCCCGTTTGCAAAACGTTGTTTTCCAACTGTTTGAAACGTTGTCGTAACCGTTTCTGCCGATCATAATTTATGGTATTTGCAGTCAACTTTTGCATGGCATCGAAGTTGGAAAATTTACACCGATTTCAAGTGTTTATTTCTGTCGCTTCTACAGTTAATTTTTGCCGTAATTCTGTTCGTCATTTTATGTCTTTCTTCGCTTTGTTGTGGATATTTCCGTAACCGTTTTCTTTTTTAGTTTGTGGGTAACACAGGTTTGATTTTTTTCTTTCCATTTTCGTCATAGTAGTAATTTTTTTCCGGATAGGCACTGCTGTAAAGTAGCGCCGATTTCGGCTATTATTTCTTCCAATGCCGCTGTAGATTTTAGCGTAGGGCCTACATTTTGTATTGTCGTTGTTTCTGATCGTTGCTGCTTTGAAACCGTTATTCCCCGAAGTATTTCAGTCGAGAAAAAAAAGTAACAATGATTTCAAGTATTATTTTTTTCAACGTCTGCTTTGTAGTACATACGAGTTGTCATTTTCGTGAGCCGAAACGAAAGTTGAATAAAAAACCTTTCATTTTTCCTTTTACAAAATGCAGAGAAAATGACACGAAATAAAATCACGCCACACATAGAAAGCAGTCCACACAAAGCGGCAATAAACCAAATTCCCTCGTTTGTCAACATGCAACATTTACAATGGAAATAATTATACACACTTCATTCTCTGCCATGAATCCATTGATTGAAGTCTATCAAATTATGAGCCTCCTTCTCGAAAAATAACAAAAACATCTCTTCAATAAATCTTTAAATTTATACAAGTATAATGAACCAAAAGTAAGATCTTTTTGATCATCATTCTCTATTGTGACCTCACTGTATGCTCACACTACACATTTAGCAATTATATAAGAGATGAAACAATGTGCGCTTTTACAGACGGTGTTAATCCCAGATTTAAATGCAGAAATCTTTTAATTCCGTTTAGCGCTTTTGCATCGTCATCTTAACAAATAACTCCTTTGGTAATTAGTGTTAATGATTAAATTTCAGTTTTCTCTTTATGG